GGCTCTGGGTTGTTCTTCGTGCTTTCGGAGTCCCTGACCCTCTGCTCACGATCATTAAGGACCTTCATGATGGTGAGCGGGCCCGGGTAAAACTACGTGGCCGGGAGTCGGAGCCTTTCCCTGTACACCTTGGGGTGCGACAGGGATGTCCTCTGGCTCCCACATTATTTAACATCTATTTTGACCGCGTAGTTCGTGAAGCCTTCAATAGCTGTACCGGGGGAATTTCCATTTGGTACAGATATAATGGGAGGCTGATCGACGCCCGGGTGCGATCAAGGGATGGCTCCCTATTGGTCAACCACGTTATGTATGCCGATTATTTGGTAATAGCTGCTCATTCAGAAGAGGAGTTGGAGGCGCTGCTGCTGAGACTGGAGCGTGCCACTAAGAGGTGGGGCCTTACCATCAGCCCCAAAAACTAAGCACCTGCCTGGGTATGTTGTACCATCGGACACTCCACCCCCACAACTCCCAATTGGTGATGGGGCAGTTGTGGAGAGAGTGGAGAGTTTCCCATACCTGGGCAGTGTGCTTATGACCGGCTCCAGTCTATCAGCAGAGGTCTCACTCCGAATCAGTCGAGCGGCAATATCTTTTCATCGGTTGCGTAACGCTGTGTGGAAGCTACCTGGTCTGTCGCTCCGCACGAAGCTTCAGGTCTTCTCGGCCACGGTCATTCCCTCCCTTCTCTACGCTTGCGAGACGTGGACCCCCCTGGTGGAGCATCTTCGCCGGTTGGAAACATTTAGGCTGGCCTGCCTACGATCCATCCTGGGTTTAACCAGGCTGGATTGTGTGAGGAGCTCACAAATCCTTGAAAGATCCTGGGCAAAGTCCCATCAGTGAGCTCCTCCGGCAGGCAAGGCTGCGTTGGCTGGGTCATGTAGCCCGCATGCCCAGCCCCGCATGCCTAAACAGGCTTTTGTTCGGCCGGATCGAGGGGGCTAGACGGGCTGCAGGCACGGGCTGAAGAAGAGATGGAGTGATGTGTACAGGAGGACCGTGGAGCTGAGTGGACTTGCCGATGACTGGTACCAGCGGTGTCAAGATCGGCCTCAGTGGAGGAGGTCGTGAAGGACGCTACTGGGCAGTTGGAGGCAGTCGCCCTCCAACACAACGGAGGGCGGAGGAGCGACGCTCACACAACGAGCGGAGCGCCGGGTGGCTAAGCACAGCAAGTTGGCACAGTAGGGGGCACAGGTTGGTGCATCAGCCAGTCATCTCTGTCATCTCAGTCAGTCGACCCTTGGCACCTGCTGGGTCTGCCCGTGACCTCCTGCCAGCGGGGCTTTCGATCACTTCACGTGGCCTCAAGGTGAACCTTGGCTGGCACAAGCATCGTGGTGACGTCACCGCCACTTATGGCGAATGGCGGGTGTTGTTTGTGTATGTGTGTGTGTGTTGCTGTGTGTGTCTGTGTGTGTGTCTGTGTGTGTGTCTGGGTGTGTGTATGTGTGTGTGTCTGTGGAGTCTGCAGAGTCCACGATGCGACACGAGAGAGAGAGACCGGAGCTAGTCGGCAGGGACCCGGACTCCGAGTAGGAGCCCCCTAGCCCCTGGGAGTTGTGTACCCTGGTGTGTAATATTGCAACAGCTTTAATAAACCCTGGCGAAAGCCCTTAGCTTACCTCCGTCTCCAAGTACGTTCGCGAGAACTTCTCTACAATAGTATTAACACTGGAGAAAGCATTTTAAAGACCAACATATTTTAGTTATCAGATGTAAGTTCACATTTAGGATGGATTTTTTTTGGGGGGGGGATTGGGTTAATTAAAAAACCCATACGTGCAGCCCTTGCCACAGACCTTTCAAAACACCAACCCAATGTTCTTAAAATTGACGCTTTTCCTGTTCACCTCTGTTTGTTTGCCCTCCATCACACAGGGCCCAGCAGATGAGCACAGATTAGAAACGAACCGCCAGGGGCACAAAGCAGCCACACTCAAGGGCTGCCACCTGGCCACGCAAACATCTCTTATTTTATTTCATATTTACATGAGCTGCTAGCAGCTACAACACCCTTCAGATGTTGTGTCACCTGTAATGCCTCACCACCATTATCCCTATCGTGCTCTAAGCAGCTCCTAATTGAATCAGGCCCTTGTGAGGCCAACAAGTTACGGGGTTACCAATTCCACATCAGAGGTCGCAACCGGGTACCCGATACCCGTACCCTACCCAATACCCGGCTACCCGTACCCGGCCGGGTATGGGTACGAGTACCCGTTTGCGACCCTGGTGCGGCCTGGTACGGGTACGGGTAGACGGTGAGTCACTGGTGAGTCACCGTTTGTCACTCATTTCCCAACGTCTTGTCTCTTCTCACAATTCAAGTTCCTAGAATCAACCCACCCGCGCCTGCAACATGGCTTCATCCCAGAGGTCGCAATCAGGTACCCGATACCCGTACGGGTACGGCCGGGTACGGGGGGGACCCGTTTGCGACCCTGGTGCGGCCGGGTACGGGTAAGGAATCAAAACCCGTTTGCGACCTCTGTTCCACATGCACTGGAGCAAGTGCTACAACGCAACCAAGTTAAAGTGTTTATTTTGTATTCATAATTGACTTTTGGGTTAGACCACGTAATAATCTGCCCAAATTTCTGTCGTACCACCTGACATAGCCAAACATATTAAAATGTCACATGTACAAGCGCTCCCGACAATTAATTATCGCAACTAAATATAACAATTAGATACCCGATGTTTTACGTGAAAATGTGCCAAACGTCTTCAGGATAAGATCCAGGAAGTTAGATTAACCACGTCACCTGACCCGGCTTCTCCAATTCGTCACATTATCTTTAAAATTAAAATGACAGCATCATGTTCATACTGAATGGAGTTGCACATTTAGTTTCTGCTCATTGCGACTTTTTTTCATTATTAACCATTAATTACATTTAAATCAGACTAACATGAAAGGCGGGTTTCGGTACGAGGCTCTTATAGCGCACATATCGGGAACAATCACGCGGACAAATGTGGAAAAATCACCTCACGTACATGTAACTTGTAGGCCTTGGCAAGAGAGTGTACGGTGAAAAATTTATTTTGTTTCTCGGAAAATAAACGAATTGTGCATCAGGTATGGTGTCTACAAATACCCGTGGCCTCTGTGCTGGAGTAGAGAGGCATTGATTGGAAAACAAGAAGGCGAACGGCGCGATAGCTCGTGCCCACAATGAGTGCGGGCTGCTGCTCTTCCTCCATCCCACCTGTTTCTATTCACTCGTGGCATGCCGCTCACCTGCACAAAATATACCGGTGATCTCTGTCTTTGGAAAGATATGTCGGCGCAATGTTGAATAAATAATCACTGGCCGAAGAAACACGCTTTTTTCTATTTAAGCACATGAACTCCATGTCTCACAACCCCTCCCCCCGAGTTTCAAATTCTAGCAATTACCAGGTGCGCAATGTGTACCATTTCATTGAACGTTTGACAAATAACGGCAGTATTGACGCCGACGTTATCGGCTCGGGGGAGAGAGGCCGCACGTGCAATCGAGCGCGACACACACGGAGGCCGTCTTGCCGCATCTCCACGACCGCTGGGAGGGACGGGCCGGATCGTCGTCCACCCTCGCGGCCGGTCACGGTGTCACATCCGGATATCAACCCAGAGCCGGTTGGTGATCAGCACTTAGTTCAGCCTCCAGCAGGACGGATGAACATGACAAGACATTAGCTCGGGGGAATCGCCTTAACGTAGCCTGCGTTGAAAAGCGATTTGCAATAGTCGTTCCACCGGTCGCTTTCCAGAAGGCCGTGGACGGTAGAAAAGGGCAGTGAGGGGAGTGGACATGGAGCTGCCCCACAGCCTCGTGGCTCACGAGTGAGGGGGACACGGACACGCTGCTGATGTCGCGCCCGGTTTCCAACGGTCACGGAAAAACAGCATTAGTCCCAAAGGGGTCCGCACTGGGACATCACTAAAAGTTGTGATGACTATGAAATGCTGCCTTAATAGAAAGGACATTATTACCCGACACTGCAGATAATGCCAAGAGATACGGATACAATTACTTACTATGATTAAAGAAGTAAAACATTTTCAGATACCTATAACCCCAAAATGAACAAGCAACAAGCCTATATATTACACTCACGGTCGAGATCGGAAACCGCCCTGTCCTTCGTGATGTTGTATTTTTCAACGATGTAGTCGATTTGCTAAAGGCAAAGAAAGAAACACACTCAAGTCAGTCACACGACCGCCTTGTACCAGAGGTCGCAACCGGGTACCCGATACCCGTACCCTACCCGATACCCGGCTACCCGTACCCGGCCAGGTACGGGTACCCATTTGCGACCCTGGTGCGGCCGGGTACGGGTACGGGTAAGGAAATCAAAACCCGTTTGCGACCTCTGCCTTGTACCCTGTTCAAAACCACGCTCTGATATGCCAAGCCACAGCCACAAAACGAGTTACGCCGCAGACTATTTGTGAGTTGGAATCCTCCTTTCATTTACATTTCACAACAAGTGGAATTCTACAAATTATCCGCAATGCCCACCTGCAATTTGCACAGAGCCCCCTAACAAGAACCACTGCAGCGTGCACACCACTTTCATGGCTTTATTTTGGTGATTTCGAAAAGTGTATTGGTTTAGCCATGTTTGTTTGTTGTAGTACAGAGTTAGACTGATGGCCTTAATCTAAGTTGTCTTGTGGTTGTTGTTGTTGTTTGACTTGCATCCCACTGGGATTATGACTGCAGGTATTGTGGTCTATGTAAACATGACTCCTTGTAAAAAGGTGTCAGTTTTGTTGCCAGATAGAATGGTAAAAAAACAATTATCATTATTATATTATACTTTTCATATTAATGCAGTGGCATTGATAATTGCGTCGAGTTGTTCTTGTTGTTATGTTTTGTGCGCCACTGCGAATCATTTGCTCACATTTAATCTACACCCACAGGTGCGTGCTTTTCGGTGACATTTAACGGAGGAAACTGCGCGGACGTGAGGCTGGGGCAGCTGCCGCTTACACGGGGCGTAGTGTTGAGGCAGGGTCCGGACGTCCTTCAAGTTGCTCGACAGCAGGGTCTCCGACTGCCGGATATTGTTGGTCACATTGTTGTTGGCCACGTAGGCACACACAATGCCCGCCCTGCACGGAGACGCAAAGGGGAAGCAGAAACACGTTTTACTTACCGCAGAGAACACACAAACACTGCTGGCTTAACTCTACGGGGAGGTATTCCACGTCACTTTGAGATCCTTCAACAAACTCCGGGATAAGAAGGCTCAGCTGACCGAGTATTATTTCCCTTCTACGTGGTGACTTTACCGAAAGAACCAAGAAGATGAATCCCTGCAGTCACGAAAGCTTCAAATCGAAATTTAACCGCCTCTACGGGGAGGGATTCCACATAACTTTGAGATCCTTCAACAAACTCCGGGATAAGAAGGCTCAGCTGACCGAGTATTATTTCCCTTCTACGTGGTGACTTTACCAAAAGAACCAAGAAGATGAATCCCTGCAGTCACGAAAGAAGCTTTAAATCGAAATTTAACGAGACGACTCACTCGACGGCGAGCGTGACGAGGAGGAGCGAGGCGCCGTGGCAGCTGCGTTTGCAGTCGTCGTTCTTCCGTGGCCTCCGAAGCATCTCTCCGCGGCGGTTCCCGCAGCAGCGGCGGCGGCGGCACATGCAGCAGCCCGCCAGCGGGAGCAGCAGCAGGAAGGCGACGCCCAAAGCCGCGCACACGATAAAGCCGAGCTCATAGCGGATGATCTGAGGGCAACGTGAGCCACATCACCAAGTCACCCACGCCGAGTTGAACCGCCAGGCTTGCAGGTTACGGCACTTAATGATGGTATAATCGTTTCGAGGTGCAACGCGCTTGCACGGCGTTCACCACAGAGATAGAACAACTCAGAGGTGCCAGGAACCACAGACAAGCGGGGATCCTCTGTACAGTGGAACCTCGGTACATGTCGTTAATTCGTTCCAGAAGGTAGGACTTATACCGGAAATGCCGTATAACAAACGAGTTTTTCCCATAAGAAATAACGGGAAGGAAATAATCCGTTCCAGAGAATAAATGATATTTTATATGGCATATTATACATTAATAGGGCTGTATAAAATTATTTAGACACTACTTATTACTAAATGCATACATACATTGAAATAAATGCATAAATAAATACAAATAAATTGAAATAAAAATAAAATTTAACATCACTTTATCTTGCTGAGAGGAGCCTACGGGGATGGTGGTGAGGAAGAGTCGTGAATGGGGTCTACGCGGTGACTCATCACGACCCATACAAGTTCTAGCAAGCGCGTCGTATCCCAAGCAAGACGTCGTATCCCAAGCAAGGCGTTGTATCCCAAGCAAGACATCGTATCCCAAGCAAGCACTGAGGTTGTGAAAGTGATGCACGATGACACAAACAAGTGGCTCGTCTTTGCAGAGCAGGCAAGAGCGCAAGTGAAAATTGCGAAGCGTGCAAACTAACCTGGCGATAGTCCTTGTTTACGACTCCAAAACCTTGCTTCATAGCTTTGGCGAGTAGCTCTGCGAGAGAGAAATGCCGCGAAAAAATGTAAACCTCACAATCTCTTTGAACAAAAACAAAGTAATGAATTGTTCCCGGTAAACGTTTTCAAAGGTGTGCATCGCGTAATCTTTGCCTTGATATGCACGCGCACGTATCCTACGCGACCAAACTCCGCACGTAAAGTGCCGCTGTGAAATATTTCTGAGCGTGGAAACCTGAGCACAAATTTGTGAACATAAATTGTGCCGAAACTTGCTATGGAGCGGCGGTTTTCTGCGTGTGGCAAGGTCACCACGTGTGGTTACACGAGACATCTCCCGGGGGTACGTGAGACAATTCAGAATCAGAATGTGTTTCTCGTGGAGGAATCCGATGAGCTATGAAGCTCTGTTTCACAGGTGCCCGGTAGGGGCACGGGGCCAGAACGTGACAACAACAAACACGGCAGGAGTGAAAATATACGAGAGGTGAACAAATCACTTGAAATATATACAAATATATAAATATATACAAATATATAAATATATACAAATAACACTTTCTTTTTCTTACCAGGTAAAGCCCACTGAGCTTTTGGTTTATTTTTCAGAAGTGACCTGGGCACAATTAATAGCTCAACCAAGTGGCTTATCACGTGTACATTTATAGCAGCAAAATCATCTAAACGCATTTAAATTTCGATGTAAAGCTTTCGTGCCTGCAGGGATTCATCTTCTCGGTTCTTTCGGTAAAGTCACGTAGAAGGGAAGTAATAAAATAATAAAAATAAAACATAATAAAATAATTCTCACGACGTTTCGGCCACAACGCAAGCAGCCGTCCTCAGGTGAAAAACTATATCTTGTCGACAGACCTGTTCTTCACCTGAGGACGGCTGCTTGCGTTGTGGCCGAAACGTCGTGAGAATTATTTCATTATGTTTTATTTTATTATTTTATTACTTCCCTTCTACGTGACTTTACCGAAAGAACCAAGAAGATGAATCCCTGCAGTCACGAAAGCTTTACATCGAAATTTAGCTTATAGAGAATTGTGATTTTCAAACAACGCGGTCATTTACAGACCCTTAGCAATTTGCTGCGGGACGATGGCCTCAACGTGCGGTGACAGCCGTGGGAGGCGTTTGACCATACTTCACTACGCCGGTCTGCGCAGGTTAGTGACATGGTAAAAAGGACAGAATCAGGTCAGATATAATTGGCCACCGATGTTGGCCGTGGTGGGGAATCTAACTCAGGTCATTGTGCGGCTGCACATTTACCCTTTTGAATCTACGGAAAGGATGACCTTATAGGATTTTGGCTAAACTCATGCGGCCAGCTATGGCTACAGGGTTTGGTGGTACATGTTGTTTATGTCGTTTATTGTGAAATTTCGGTCACAGTTCCTATGATCACTGTTAGATTGCTTATGGCTTTATTTTGGTGATTTCGAAAAGCTGTTTGGTTTGGCCATGTTTGTGTTGTTGTAGTATGGAGTTAGACTGATGGCCTTAATCTAAGTTGTCTTGTGGTTGTTGTTTGACTTGCATCCCACTGGGATTGTTGCACACAGCGTTGGTGTACGGTGCTTTTTCTGGAAGACTTCGCAGTTTTTCCTGGATTTTTCTGTTTGCGCAAAGTCACTTTAAGATGTTTCCTTGTTCGTGTTTTTGTTTTCTGTTTGTTGCGGTTGCACCTGATTCAAGAGCCGAATGGCTCACAGGGCTACACCAAATCAATAAAACTGAAATATAAACCGCATGTATATATACCAACACTCCAATATAGTCACACGATCTCCCAAAGCACTCACCGTGAGGAAATGAATTCGGCTGAACGAGGTCCAGAAACTTGTGCATCATCAAGAAGAGCGTTCCGATGGCGCCGGCGTCGTAACTGGTGTCGGTCACGTAGGTGGCCGTAGGAACTTGCCCAAAGTCCAGCGTGGTGGACGGCACGCTCGACACGAGGACGAGCGCCAGCAGTACAAAAACCGCCGGGAATGCCGTCACACCACCAGCCATCGTCGCTGCGGGAAGGCTGCAAAAGCTAACGCACAAACAAGGGAGTGGGGCGCCACCGTGGTTTTGCGCACAAAAGTCTCCTCGCGAGCAGCGCCAGCCAACACGGTCCCAATAACGCTCACGTCCAGATCGTCGTTATCGTCGCACGCTCGGGTGAATGGTGCGCGTCGGTTCACGTGGACGTGGCGCCTCCCGTAAGTCCTGTGGGGCGGCGGGAGTGTTTGTATCCGATGAGCTCCTTACGCTGAATCGGGCATCTGGGAAGACAATAGCAAAAATTAAGAGGGCATTTTAAACGCAATAAGACTTTCACAGGAACGCACGTACGCAAACAGCCGGCTGCTATGTACGGCAATATAGCAGTTCACCGAATAAATAATCTGCAGCTGCACTTGGAAGAAATCACACCGGGTTATTTGAAAGGTTCACACAGCCAATTGCAAGTCACTGTTTGGTTGCACGAATTTTTTCCCATCAAATCGGCCACACGGTAGTTTAAAGGTTCCCCGATGTTTTAAAATCGTAATACGTTTCGCTCGTTTGCATTGCCATTGGCTCGCTGGAGGCGCACTTGAAACAAATATTTTTGTCTTCTTGTTTCTTTCGGTAAAGTCACGTAGAAGGGAAGTAATAAAATAATAAAAATAAAACATAATAAAACAATTCTCACGACGTTTCGGCTACAACGCAAGCAGCCGTCTTCAGGTGAAGAATGAGACACTACCAAACTAGGAGCTTATATATAAGCTGCATTGGGGGTTGAAGAGCGCCTTAACAAAAAGAATGTGCATGTGAAGAGGAATTTAGCATATTCATGGAAAATGCGTAGGCGTTGGGCGGGGGGGTGTCAAAGTCATATTATGCCCATGCATTATGCAGGATCAGCAGCAACCAAGGGGGGTGCAGGGATTAGCAGTAACAAAGGAAAGGAATGTTAATGATATGTAGCTGCAGTTACTCAACAACCACGTAGAAAACTAAAGTATAAACTACATAAAAAACTAAAGTATAAACTGCATCGCACCATCAGTATACTTACTATACTCTATAATAAGCTGAGTTACTAACAGCAAGTAATACATTACAATTCTACCTCGTAAAAATTCTATAATATGCTTCCATCTAAACCTTATTCTCTTATATCACACGAGCATATACCGTACTATATACTGCCATAGATAAACCCAACATTAAATTATATACTGTATTGCTGTAAACCAACCTATATCTTATACATTTAATATAACACTATGTATTATTCTACACACCCTAATGTGTATCGAAATGGTTTATTACGTCCTTCCAATGATTGCTGAGCCAGAATCCATCTTCTCGGTTAAAATTGTCTCTGTGTTTGTATATGTGGATCGCCTCATGAACGAATCTCTCATGATAGCCAGATGGCTTGCAGAGAACCTCTGTCTTGGAGAAGTCGATATCATGTGAGCCCACTGAGTTGTAACAGTGATCTGCCACGGCTGAGGTGTTTGTCCTACCGTGTTTCAGGTCAGCTTTATGTTCACGGATGCGGTCCGAGACATGTCGTTTGGTTTCCCCAATGTAACTGCTACCACAGAGGCAACTTAGTTTGTAGACGCCAGGGTACTGTATGTCTGGAACCACATCTTTTACAGACGGTACCAGATCACGGATTTTATGTACTGTGTTGAATCGGACCTGGATCTTGTGTTTAATCAGGATTTTGGAGATCTTTTTTGTGACCCCAGCAATGTAGGGTAAGGTGATGGTCTTGAAAGGCTCCTCAACAGGATCCTTCTTGATGGTTGGAGTGATGGCTTTGCGGATTGTATAGTCGGAGTAACCATTTGCCTTAAGAGCTTGGCGTACGTGTTTGAGTTCACTGGAAATGTGTTCATGGTCGGAGATGCATTGGGCTCTATGATATAGAGTCTTGATGAGGGAATTCTTCTGGGATGGATGGTGGTGGGAATCCGGTTTTAGATAAGCATCCGTGTGGGTGGCTTTCCTGTAGACAGAGTGGCTCATTGAACCATCAGGTCTCCTTTTGATTAGTCGAAAATGATGGCAAGCTACCCTTTTTGGATGTCCTAATCAAAAGGAGACCTGATGGTTCAATGAGCCACTCTGTCTACAGGAAAGCCACCCACACGGATGCTTATCTAAAACCGGATTCCCACCACCATCCATCCCAGAAGAATTCCCTCATCAAGACTCTATATCATAGAGCCCAATGCATCTCCGACCATGAACACATTTCCAGTGAACTCAAACACGTACGCCAAGCTCTTAAGGCAAATGGTTACTCTGACTATACAATCCGCAAAGCCATCACTCCAACCATCAAGAAGGATCCTGTTGAGGAGCCTTTCAAGACCATCACCTTACCCTACATTGCTGGGGTCACAAAAAAGATCTCCAAAATCCTGATTAAACACAAGATCCAGGTCCGATTCAACACAGTACATAAAATCCGTGATCTGGTACCGTCTGTAAAAGATGTGGTTCCAGACATACAGTACCCTGGCGTCTACAAACTAAGTTGCCTCTGTGGTAGCAGTTACATTGGGGAAACCAAACGACATGTCTCGGACCGCATCCGTGAACATAAAGCTGACCTGAAACACGGTAGGACAAACACCTCAGCCGTGGCAGATCACTGTTACAACTCAGTGGGCTCACATGATATCGACTTCTCCAAGACAGAGGTTCTCTGCAAGCCATCTGGCTATCATGAGAGATTCGTTCATGAGGCGATCCACATATACAAACACAGAGACAATTTTAACCGAGAAGATGGATTCTGGCTCAGCAATCATTGGAAGGACGTAATAAACCATTTCGATACACATTAGGGTGTGTAGAATAATACATAGTGTTATATTAAATGTATAAGATATAGGTTGGTTTACAGCAATACAGTATATAATTTAATGTTGGGTTTATCTATGGCAGTATATAGTACGGTATATGCTCGTGTGATATAAGAGAATAAGGTTTAGATGGAAGCATATTATAGAATTTTTACGAGGTAGAATTGTAATGTATTACTTGCTGTTAGTAACTCAGCTTATTATAGAGTATAGTAAGTATACTGATGGTGCGATGCAGTTTATACTTTAGTTTTTTATGTAGTTTATACTTTAGTTTTCTACGTGGTTGTTGAGTAACTGCAGCTACATATCATTAACATTCCTTTCCTTTGTTACTGCTAATCCCTGCACCCCCCTTGGTTGCTGCTGATCCTGCATAATGCATGGGCATAATATGACTTTGACACCCCCCCGCCCAACGCCTACGCATTTTCCATGAATATGCTAAATTCCTCTTCACATGCACATTCTTTTTGTTAAGGCGCTCTTCAACCCCCAATGCAGCTTATATATAAGCTCCTAGTTTGGTAGTGTCTCATTCTTCACCTGAAGACGGCTGCTTGCGTTGTAGCCGAAACGTCGTGAGAATTGTTTTATTATGTTTTATTTTTATTATTTTATTACTTCCCTTCTACGTGACTTTACCGAAAGAAACAAGAAGATGAATCCCTGCAGTCACGAAAGCTTTAAATCGAAAAATATTTTTGTATCACAGCGAAAATGTTATTGGCCACTCAAAATAACGCCCTGTATATTCAGTAAAAATACAAGTAAATCACGATTCATGGTTAATTACATTGCAACAAAAGACTACAAATCTATATTTGCCGGAGACAATAATAATTATTTTCAAAGGTAAAAATGCCTGAGCGATCAAACGGCGCAAACTAAATTTAAATAGAATATTGTTCACAATCCATCGGATGCTGATACCCCGTTGTTGTATACTTGAAGTCTATTTCAACACTTTCTGTCTTTCAGCGGAGTTGTTAATCTCTCGCAGTGGAGGCCCGAACAACCTGAAACAGCAAATCTCCACATTATAAATTGTGTCCGATAGCTAGACCTCAGAATTCCGCGCCTGGTGCGTGAACACTGAGCCCTAAGAATGCTCAAGATGCCTTACGTGTCTGTCTCTGTGAGCTTTGAGCAACAGCAGAGATTCCTGAGAATCCTAATAATGCCTTCGTGTGCACGTGAACAAAAACACTGAACACATTTGTCAATAACACTGTAGCCTTAAAAGGAAAAGTATATAATAGGCGATGTTTGGCATATGGCCCTTCTTCATTGCAGATCAAAAACAAGACCAGATATAGAGTGGATAAGAGTTGGAGACTGCATTTAACAACCATGGGTGTCTCTACACGTTGGTCACTTTGGAGGATGTGTATTATACCTCGGTTCTTTGTCTCTGTGTGATTGTTGGTCAGATACAAACATAGAGACACAGTGAGATGTGTCTGTAGTGGTTGTTGGTCAGACACAGAGAGACACAGTGAGATGTCTCTGTAGTGGATGTTGGTCAGACACAAACACAGAGACACAGTGAGATGTGTCTGTGTGGATGTTGGTCAGACACAAACAGAGAGACATAGTGAGATGTCTCTGTAGTGGATGTTGGTCAGACACAGAGAGACACAGTGAGATGTCTCTGTAGTGGATGTTGGTCAGACACAAACACAGAGACACAGTGATATGTCTCTGTAGTGGATGTTGGTCAGACACAAACACAGAGACACAGTGAGATGTGTCTGTGTGGATGTTGGTCAGACACAAACACAGAGACACAGTGATGATCGTAAGTCGGGGACTACCTGTAGATAGGCCCTGTAGGTTACTGCGGGGATGTAGGGAGCGGTGGTGCAGCGGCGAAACCCCAAGAAAAAAATATTTGAATCGGTTCTGGGCCTCCCCTAAGTCGACTCCGCCTCAAATGAGTACCTGGTGCGGTGGACTCGAGACGTGGTGCCGGTAGGACGAGTCGATGATGATGGATGGATGAGGATGGAGAGTGGACGACTTTAGGAGGAGGAGGAGGCAGCCGGAAGTGACGTCACGCCCACACTCGTAAGCCACGCCCAGGCCCCTCCCCCCTCCCCCCACCTCTAACGGAACGTTGGGCTTGATTTGTAAGAATATTTTTATTCGCGCACGCATGCACACACACATACAAGACAAACGGTACAAATTTAAAAAAACACACACACAAGGTACAAAAAAAATAAGCGGTGCAGGTGAGGTTGGAAACCCAAGAGGGTTTATATGAAAAGCAGACCACATTTTTTCTTCGATTTAAAGCTTCTTTGGTGACTGCAGGGATTCATATTCTTGGTTATTTCGGTAAAGTCACATAGAATGGAAATAATAAATAATAAAAATAAAACATAATAAAATAATTCTCACGACGTTTCGACCACAACAGGTCTGTCGAGAGACAGACTATGTCTCCTCGACAGACCTGTTCTTCGTCAGACGCTGTCTTTCCGACAGACCTGTTCTCCACCTGAAGACCGCTGCATCTTTCTTGTCTTAAAGCTTTCGTGACTGCAGGGATTCATACTCTTGGTTCTTTCGGTAAAGTCTTTACCGAAAAAACCAAGAACATCTTAACACAGCAGTTTTGTTGCCAGAAAAAAGGGGAAAACTTATTGTCAAAAGCATCTTTCTTGACTCAAAGCTTCAGTGGCTGCAGGAATTCAGTGGCTTTACCGAAAGACCCCCAAAAAAATATTTGTTTTTGTGTGCGCTTATGTGTGTGTGTGTGACTTGGGCTCCATGGATGATACTAACTTATTTCGCGCACCGCACCGTAACACCTGCCCAGTGCGAAGAGTAGGCCAACCCTGTGCTTGTGAAATGTGGAAACCCTCGAATGGAATATCTGCACCGGTTAGAAACATTCAGGCTGGCCTGCCTATGATCCATCCTGGGTTTTAACCAGGCTGGATTATTTAAGGAGCTCACAAATCCTTGAAAGATCTGGAAATCTCCATCAGTGAGCTCCTCTGGCAAGCAAGGCTGCATTAGCTGGGTCATATAGCCCACATTCCCAACCACCGCTTGCCGAGAAAGCTGTTTGGCCAGATAAAGGGGGCTAAACGGACACGACACGGGTTGGAAAAGAGATGTATGTGGTACAGGAGGATATGGAGCTGAGTGGACTTCCCTTACCACTGACTTTTTCCACACCATACTCTTTGGTTCTTTCGGTAAAGTCACGTAGGTATAAAATAAAATAAATAAAATCACGACGTTTCGGGCGCAACACAAGCGTCCGTCACCAGGTGGGACAACCACAGCAACAAACAATATGCTGACGTGGGCAAAAGGGCTGCTGCAACAAGAGGCTATATAGGTAAGAGATGGGGGGTGGGGGAGCCAGGGAGGAGAGACAGGGAGGGGGTGGGGGGTAGGGGGAGTGGATGCTACAAGACACAATCACGGCAGAAGATACCGGGGTGGGGAGGGGAAGTGGACAGGCTGGGAGTGGGAGGGTAGGTTTTCCATACCAGTTTAACCAATATCTATAACACAGCAGAGGTCGCAACCGGGTACCCGATACCCGTACCCTACCTGATACCCGGCTACCCGTACCCGGCTGGGTACGGGTAGCCGTTTGCGACTCTGGTGCGGCCTGGTACGGGTAGGCGTGAGTCACTGGTAACTGTTTGTCACTCATTTCCCAACGTCTTGTCTCTTCTCACAATTCAAGTTCATAGAATCAACCCACCCGCGCCTGCAACATGGCTTCATCCCAGAGGTCGCAATCAGGTACCCGATACCCGTACCCTACCCGTACACGGCCGGGTACGGGTAGGGTACGGGAACTGCCGGGTACGGGTACCCGTTTGCGACTCTGGTGCGGCTGGGTACGGGTACGGGTAAGGAATCAAAACCCGTTTGCGACCTCTGTAACACGGTGTTCTTTTTGGTTAGATGGCGTAGATATAGAAATATCTTCAAACCCGCCATCACCCGACAGGCAACGTAGTAAGGTTTGTCACGTGAACAGAACGTGCCAATTCGTTACTTGCGCAGCACACCGTGGGTTGTGTTGGAGAGCGAAGCCACCACGTTGATCTGTGTTTGTGTTCGCGTACGGATCAAGGCTGTCATGTTTTAATAAACAAAAGATTCTACACTATGGGAACCTCATTTGCCAGTAAAAATATGATAATTGCTTTTTTACCCTTCTATCTGGCAACAAAACTGACACCTTTTTACAAGGAGTCATGTTTGCATAGACTGCTATACCTGCAGTCATAAATACAAACAAAAGACATAACTCTGATAATGTATGCACTGTCCTTGAAGTTGATTGGTCCACACCCAACTTCAAGGACAGTGCACTTTATCAGAGTTATGTTCTTATGTTTGTATTATGACTGCTGGTATTGCGGTCTATGCAAACATGACTCCTCGTAAAAAGGTGTCAGTTTTGTTGCCAGATAGAAGGGTAAACAACCAATTATCAAACAAAAAATTATCGTTGAAGTAATTCGTGGATGGAGAACGCCAGCCCACACACTGGGCTGCCTCTTGATGCTGGTTGGCTTCCCCACTGCACCGACGGGCATTCATCGTCCATCCTGTCGCGTTTGTGATCCGCAAATCGTCTCTTTGAACGCGGCAGTCGCGTGACAGGAAATCACTTGAACAATTTTTTTTTTCAAATGCACTTCACCTACCCCTCTCATCTCACTCCACTCCCCTCCACACACTCTCAGACCTCTTCCCCTCTCATCTCACCGTGTTCGCGTGCATTTTCACATGCAAAGTTTTATTCGCATTCACATCTTCAACCTCCCAGTTCCCCAGCTTGAAGAACTCCCCTCCCCGTCCCGGTGTCGGCCGTCCTTCTCCCGACTTTGGCGTCTCCCGCGCCTCCAGGCGCACCACCACCTCGTCGTCGTCGTCGGAGCCTTTGCGAGGAAGCTTGGGAGAGCGACCGCCCTCCTCCTCCGTACTACTACCACCGCCACCACCGCCACCACCGCCGCCTCCACCCAAGTTGTTGGCTATCCACGAGACTTCCCGTGGCCGGCGCCTGAGACACCGCGGGCAGCAGCGGCGCCCTGCGGCCAGCAGGACGCTCAGCAGGCAGACGGCCAGCGACAGGGGCAGCAGCACAGGCAGCAGGGAGCCTGGGGGAGGGGCAGGGGGAGGGAGGGGGAGGGGGCAGGGGGAGGGAGGGGGAGAGGGGGAGGCAGGGAGGGGATGGAGGGGAGGGAACAGAGGGAGGGAGGGAGGGAGGAGGGGGGTGGAGGGAGGGGGGGAGGCAGGGAGGGGAGGGGGCAGGGGAAGGGAGGGGGAGGGAGGAGGGGGGGAGGCAGGGAGGGGAGGGAGGGGAGGGGGAGGAGGGGGGATGGGGGAGGGGGGAGGGGAGGATGGGGAGGGAGGGGGAGGGAGAGGGAGGGGAAGGGAGCAGGGGGGTGGAGGGAGGGGGGGAGGCAGGGAGGGGAGGGAGGGGAGGGGGCAGGGGAGTGAAACCACAGACTCCAAATACTCCTCTACTTAGCTACTCAGTCTCTACTACTACTACACTACTCAGTGTTCACCGGACCGGCCGCTGTCACCCCCCCCCCACTCACGATCAATGGCGGCGGAAGCCGGGGGGACAGATCTTCCGCTGTCGATGCTCGTGACGCCCACGCCGGACGCACACGAAGAACCAACACCACCAACACCATCAACACCATCAACGCTGCACTCCTCCTCGTCGTCATCCACCTTCTCTCCTGATGGTGCACAAAAAACCAGGAAGGCCGTACGTACGTCTATGGGTCTCTGTGTGGTGAGTCCATGGGTCTCTGTGTGGTGAGTCTATGGGTCTGTGTGTGATGAGTCTATGGGTCTCTGTTGAGTATATGGGTCTCTGTGTGGTGAGTCTATGGATATCTGTCTGGTGAGTCTATGGGTCTGTGTGTGGTGAGTCTATGGGTCTCTGTGTGGTGAGTCTATGGCTCTCTGTGTGGTGAGTCTATGGATCTCTGTCTGGTGAGTCTATGGGTCTCTGTGTGATGAGTCTGTGGATCTCTGTTGAGTATATGGGTCTCTGTGTGGTGAGTCTATGGGTCTCTGTGTGGTGAGTCTATGGGTCTGTGTGTGGTGAGTCTATGGGTCTCTGTTGAGTATATGGCTCTCTGTGTGGTGAGTCTATGGATCTCTGTCTGGTGAGTCTATGGGTCTGTGTGTGATGAGTCTGTGGGTCTCTGTTGAGTATATGGGTCTCTGTGTGGTGAGTCTATGGATCTCTGTCTGGTGAGTCTATGGGTCTGAGTGTGATGAGTCTATGGGTCTCTGTTGAGTCTATGGGTCTCTGTGTGATGAGTCTGTAATAAAAGACTCCGTCAGGCACTGCTGGTCTCCGCTTGTCTTTTATTCAGGTTCTTCTCCGCACCCCGCTGGTCTCCTCCTAGGACCAGCGTCGTCTCCTCTCACGTGCCCTGCACGCTCCCTCTCCCTCTCGCGTGCCCCGCACGCTCCCTCTCGCGTGCCACGCACGCTCCTCCGTTAGCTCCCCTACTCCCGCACTCCACACACCGCTGGCCGTGGCCGATCCCTCAGCGGTGGGCCGGAGCGCGACTCCGCTCACCCTCGAGGAACCCACTGGCCCGCCGCCGCAGTGAGATCGCCAGGCCCCCTCTCGTCCGGCACGAAAACAGCCTTCGACGGAGTCCACCCGACGGCATCTCCCTCCACGGTCGGGCTCCCCGTCCAGGCGGTCATCTGCGCCCAACGGCGCAAGTTGAACTGCGCATCGAGGCACTTGGCTGCCATCCGGGAGGTCAGCTGCTCATGGCCGCACACCGGCAGCGGAATGCCCAAGTCCTTGGACAGCTCCAACATCTTACCCAGTATCAAGGGCTCCAACAAGTCGGGCTCCATCTCTGGATACGCGGCCATGGCCAGCTCAAGCACAGCACCCCGGAAAGCCACAGGCGATTCCTCGGGTACCCGTTGCCTCTGGACGAATTTGCGGTGTGCATCGTCCGGAGGCTCGTACGCTTCCGCCATTTCGTCAAACGCCCCTTTCAGCGTCGCCTT